AAAGGACGAAAAGATCGTTTTGCATTTTCCGGATGGTTGTGATGAATCTTTAACGCTGTGTATGGATTTTATAGCATACTTTTTTTCAGTTATATTTATGTCATTTCAACTTTCATTTAATCAGCAAAAAATGTTTCCGACTCATGTCAAAAATTATAACAATTTAACTCAAATAATCTCTCACTATTCCAAATTCAAAAAACTGCGTGTGTAATAAAATTTTCATCTCCCAATTTTCCAAAATTATTACTCGAATGGATAAAAATATTTTTTTTCAGTGATAACAACTATTCCAGTGCAGGGTTGCCACGCAACCAGGAAACCTGGAAATGTCAGGGAATTTTTTAAAACATTGAAAAAACATGAAAAATTCAGGGAATTTTGATCAGAATCCTGGAAAATTATTGTTTTCTAAAGTTATTGTCCTTATTCTTGAAATCTAATTTTACTTAAATATTTAAAAATTAATTGAATTTTAAAAGAGTTGCGTTTACAATTTTCATAAATAGATATAAACTTCCAAATGTTTTAGTTTGAAATTTTAGAAAATTTCAATTTTGAATGAATGAATTAAATAATAAAAATTTCACAAGAATTCTACTATTTACCAATTTTTTATAAATTTCTTAGCAATAACTAAATTATTTTCATGAAAAATAACATTTTTTACCAGGAATTCAATGATTTTCATAAATAATAAAATTCTATATAGTTTTTCAATTACTCTCATAAATAATAAAAACTCATCGTAGAAATTCAATTATTTTTAATACAATTTTAATGAAATTTCTCGAAAATTGTAATTATTCTTAATAATTTTATTAAAATTCATCAAAGAAATTCAAATATGGTCAAAAGTTTAAATAAATTCTCGTCGAAATTTCAATTATCTTTATAAATAATAAAATTCTTCTTTAAAATTCAATTATTTTCAAAAATTTTAATAAAATTCTTGTCAAAATTTAAATTATTTTCAAAAACTTTTCTCAATTCTATCAAATTTTTTAGAGAAATTCAATTAATTACTTTTTTAAAAATAAAATTATTCTTAAATATTTTCTTAAAATTCGTCAAAAGAATTTGAATTATTTAAAAATTTGTTGATAAAATTCTTTTCAAAGAATTCAATTATTTTCAATACAATTGTAATAAACTTTCTCAACAAGATTCAAATATTTAAAAAAAAATGTAATAAAATTCTTCGAGAGAATTCAATTATTTTCAAAAACTTTGATAAAATTCTTTATACGATTTAAATTATTGTCATCACAATTTTAATCAAATTTGTTGAAATATTTTAATTTTTTTAAAAAGTTCGTAATAAAATTCTTCGAAATAAATCAATTCTTCTCAAAAATTTTAATAAAATTATTCCAAGAATTCAATTATTTTCAAAAGCTGTAATAAAATTCATGTCAAGAATTCAATTATTTTCATAAATAACATAATTTTCGCAAAAGCTCAATTGTAATCAAAAAATTTAATAAAATTCTTGGCAAAATTTCAATTATTTTCAAAAACTTTTCTCAAATTCAATCAAATTTTTTAACAGAGATTCAATTATTTTTAATACAATTTTAATCTAATTTCTCCAAAAATGAAACTATTCTTAAAAATTTTCTTAAAATTCGTCAAAATAATTTTAATTATTTAAAAATATGTTGATAAAATTCTTTATGAGAGTTCAATTTTAAGACACATTCAATTATTCAATAAATTATTTATTTTTGTATTTTAATAATTGAATTCTCGTAGAATTTTCTAATAAAAATTGATTTAAATATGCATTTTAGTTAAAATTTTGGATAATAATTGAATATTAAACTTTCTAAATTTGAATAAGTGACTGACTTTATGCTTTTGAATTAGCAGATTTTACCAATAAATAGTCGTTTCTACTAATTTAATAGTAAAATTTACTAATTCAAAAGCATAATGTTTAATTTCAAAAAAGTTTGAATTTGAAATTTTTGAAAATCTGAATTCGTATGGAAAACTAATAATGATAAAATATTTATTAAAAAAAGAAGCAAAAGAACATTTTTCTGAGTAGGTAATAATTTTTAAACTGAATGTGAATATTTTTTAAGTCAAGGAGAAGTAAGAATTTTATCTGGAGTTCAAGGGAAACTCAGGGAAAAGCAAAATTAAAATTTTGTTGTCAACAAATGTAGTTTTAAAAACCTGGAAAAATTCCGTTTTTTAACCTGGAAAAGTCAGGGAATTTGGAATGAGCAAAAGCGTGGCAACCCTGCAGTGGTAAATTTTTTTTCCTTCCTTTGTACGAATCTTTTCTATGGTAAAAAATTATTTTTCTAACGAATGGAACGTTGATACGACGCGAAACTAATTTCACACATTTGAAGCTGTTAATTACTTAGCGAGACCCTCCCACAAATGCCTCAACTGTTGCGTAAGTTTCAAAATAAGCGATCACGCCTGCGGTAAAAATTCAAAAGGAATGGCATTTTAATATATTTCTATACCTATTCATATGGTTGCTAAATACTAGTTATTATAATTATGAAATCAAAATTTTTTAAGACCATTTTATAGTGTAAGTGTCGATTTCTCTAATTCCAATTGAAAATATTTTAAAACACATATATTGATTACATTCAATTCATTCATTAATCATTATTATTTTCAAGTTGTGAACGGTTCGAAAAATATTTCATTTTTTTCTATTTTTTTTTTTATGATGAAACTAAATTGATAAATAATTAATATTTAATTATTTTAGATTCATCTATTACACTGAGAAAATAATTTATTTAAATCAAACATGTTTTGTTTAAATTAGACTCAAATATTTTTGACTGTCCATCAAAGATATATAAGTTTAATTAAAAAAAAATTTTTATTTTCAAATTCAAATTTTAAATTTCAATCTAAGGTAGAAATTTGAACTACATTTTTTTGATTAAACAAAAATAGAATATACTTTTGAATTCAGTTAAATATTCGAACAATTGATATTTTTAAATCAAAAATACTTAAAGTATTTTAAGATACTTTAATACTTAACATTTTTTTCAAAAAGGTCTGATATCCGAAAGAGCGGGTTTTATTTTATCAATATGTTTGAATTAAATAAACTATTTTTTTCAGTGTATTCTTTCTTTTCTAATATTAAATATTTGTAAATTTAAAACATGAATAAATTATAAAATGTTTTATCTAAATATTTTCTCTGAATTTGAATTAATTAAAAATTGAAAAATAATTAATTCAGATGCAGTGAGTATATTTAATTTCAAATTTAGACTCAAAAAAGAATAATCTATTCTATTCTGTAAAATGCGTAAAGCATTGTAACCTTGTTTGTATTCTACTTCTGTTTACAGTATCGTTTTGCCCTACTCTGCCTACATATGCCTAACACTGTTTTTAACACGTTGTATCTACAGTGCGATATTTGTGAAACGACTCAAGATTAGATACATGTATAAACTGTATTAAAAAAAAAATTTCAAACCTCAATTTACCACATTTTAGAAAACAAATGTTTTTTAACTCGCGAAATTTTATTTATTTATTTATTTTCCCGCCACTCATCATATCTTACTTTTATTCTCACAAATCAAGAAAATGCAGGTAATATTTCAAAAATTTTAATTTTAAGGTTAGATTAATACTATTGAAAAATTATATTTAAATTAATTTAAATTTAATTATAAAATATAATTTACTATTATTATATTTATAATGAAAATTATTTTACTATATTTTTTAGGTTTATTAATATACTGAAGTTTTAAGGAATTTTTTCAACTTTTAGAATTTTATTTTTTTTATTCTTTATTATTTGCTTTTATTCTTTTTTTTCATTAAACATTATTGAAATTAAAGAAAAAGTTTCCAAGAGATGCAATTAAATTTGCAAGAAAAACGTATTAAGGATTTATTATTGCAAAAATTTTGTTGATTTAATTTGTAAAAGATCAATGTCTATGTTTGGTATTTGAGTAAGGACAAGAAAATATACTTTACGTTTGAAGACAAAATCATACGACTCCCTGCTGAGATTATGTCCAAGACATGTTTGAAGTCTAGATTGTGAGACATTGCTAAACATCTTCTTTTAAAATAAAATTTAATACGAGCAACTTTTACTTGAAAATATAAATATCAGTTTAAAAACTTGTAAAATCACTATACAAGAAACATTTTCTACGTAAATATGTAAATAAAATTACTCTCAGAAACTTTTTCTTTATATTATTAAAAAATAATTAGGATTTTATAGATGTATTTATTATAATATTTGTATATTTGTATTTCATTGCGCGATGATGACTAATTTTTATATGTATAATTAAATTTCAAAAAACATAATTAAAATATTCAGGTATCAGAAATTTTTAAAAGCGAAAATATTGTCATTTAACAAAATTAATTAATATAAATACAATAATAACAAAAATATAATAATGATTAGTATTAAAATATAAATTATTATACATTTATTATTATTAAAATTATATTAATTGATATAAATAATTTCATTTAATTGGAATGCAAATATTGTTTTCAATAATTCTAAAACCGATTCTTTTTTTATTAATAAAAAGTACTAAAACAATTATTTTCTAACTTTGAATTATTAAGTAATATTTTAAGAAACATTAAAATTAATTAATTTTCATTATTCTTTCTTTTAATAAAGATTTCTAAAAAGTTTGTATATATATTAAAAATTTGTCAGAATAATCGCATATGATTATATATGGCAGAAAATAAAAAAATAAAATTTTTAATTAAGTCCGATTACTGTTGTCAATAAACAAAACTATTTTAGTTTAAATATTTAATTATCAATTAAAAAGAATTGATAATAAATATATGATAAGATAAAGTATTGCTTAAATGTGTTTTTGTAGTTTTTGTTTAAAAACTACACATTAGAAGCGTATAAAATTCATATAAAGGGCCAAAAAATAATAAAACGGAAAAAACGAAATACGATAAAATATTAAATAATAATATAAAAAACTCACCGAAACTTAATAAGAAGTTCCGCCACTTACATAATTACGGCACATTTATCAAAATCCGTTTATTTATTGTCCTTGAATAATAATCCTTTTCTGGTATATTCGTTTAGATGAAATAGAACAATTTATCACAATCCTTTTTTTCTTGTCCTTGACTAATAATTCTTTTCTGAAAACAAAACAATATTGATTTTAGTTATCGATTTCCGACTAATTTAGTCATTTATTCTGTTTTTGCCAATGAAAATAGTGAAATAGAGAAACTATTGAATAATTTGATATAATTAACAACATATTTTAGCATATATTTATTGTAGCAACAAATTATTATAGTAATTGCTAACTGCATTTTTGCATTTTATGGTTATGTTTGCACAAACAATTTTATTTCCTTTATTTCCAAAAAAATTAACCTATAAATGTTTAGTTACCAAATAATAATGCCATAATCAATTGTAGCATTATTTACTTCATTGTTTTTTAATGAAAAATCAAGTTATTTATCAAAGTAAAGTAAAACAATTGAAAAACAAAACGCGAAAAAATTTTACCTGTGTGCGACAATCACGTCATTAGACAATGTATTTCGTATTGTCGAAACGACAAATTTACACTCAAATCCGTAACGCAATATGCACTTTTAAACAAGGTAAATGTATTTTCTTTATGAATTGTCATTTTTTGGGGGGAATCTAAACTGTTGTTGACAATATTTGATATTTGTACGTGAAAAACCGTTGGACGAATTAACTTTCAACATTTTGTCGGTGTAATGTGAAGTTGGCTTTAAGTCGCACAATCGATACATCGAATCGATTTTTCATACATCGATTTTTTTTCTTCAAATTCCAATAAATTCAATAATTTTCAAATCAAAATATTAATTTCAAAATTAATTCAAAATTATTTTTAAAATCATTCGTTTCAGTAAAAGAAACATTTTTAAAATATTAATTATTAATTAAAATATCAAATAAACAACTATTAATGAAGAAAAAAAATGTGTGCAAAAATAGAAAAAAAAACTGATTTTTTATACAAGACAATATGAACTATTCTGTCAAATTTTCTAATTCATATCAATGAATTCGATAAAAAAGAGAATTTACTGAATGTTATATCATATAATTAACATATTTTAACACATATTGTCGAAATAAATTATTATAATCATTATAATATTCGCAGACTGCATGTATACATTTTAAGGTTATGTTTGATGAAAAAATTTTATTTTCAAAAAACTTAACCTATAAATGTTCAGTTACCAAAAAATAATGCCGTAATCAATTGTAGCATAAGTATCAATTCATTATTTTAGTGAAAAACTAAATGATTTAACAAAAAAAATAAAAAATTTACCTGTGTGCGACAATCGCGTTCCAGAAGCCGTATTTCGTATTGTTGAAAGGAATAACACTTTACTTAATACAAATACGAAATATGCACATTTAATCAAAGAAAATGTATTTTATCTCTACGAAATGTTATTTTTGGGAAAAATTAAACTATTTTTGACAATAATTAATGTTACTTTTACATAAACGCTCGCGAGACAAGTTCACTTCGACCAACTTTATCAGTACAATTTGAAGTTGGTTGCAAGTCGCAAAATCGATGTATGAAATCGATTTATTGATTAAATGGAAAAAATTAAATGTAATTGTTAAAATAAACTTTATATTAAAGTAACAATTAAAATTTCTATACAAAACATGTCCCTTGTTAGAGAAATGTTCTTTTTAATATTAATATTAATATACTTGTGTGCATTTGATGGTTATGTTTGCACAAAAAAATTTTATTTACAAAAAAATTAACCTATAAATGTTCATTTACTAAATAATTATGTCATAATTAATTGCAGTATAAATACTATTTCACTTTATTAGAGAAAACCCAAATAATTTATTAAAGAAAAGTAAAACAATTGAAAAATGAAAACGGAAAAATTTTACCTGTGTGCGACAATTTCGCGTCATCAAAAGCCGTATTTCGTATTGTTGAACGAAATAACACTTCACTCAATTCAAAAACGTAATATACAGTTTTAAACAATGAAAATGATTTTTCTCTTTACGAATTGTTTTTTTTTTGTAAAATTAAACTATTTTTGACAATAATTAACGTAGTTACTTTTACATAAACACTCGCGAGACAAGTTCACTTCGGCAAACTTTGTCAGTACAATGTGAAGTTGGCTGCAAGTCGCAAGATCGATATATGAAATCGATTTATTGATTAAATGGAAAAAATATTAAAAATTATTTTGAGAATATTAACCTATAAATATTCATTACCCGAATAATTATACCATAATCAATTATGTAGCAAAATACAATTTTATTTTCGTAAATAAAAACCACAAAGATTTATCAAAAGGATGTGAAATAATAAAAAAAAATTTACCTGTTCGCGACAATCACGTCATTATTAATAAGACAAATTTCGTATTGTTGAAAGAAATAACAATTCACTCAATGCCAAAATGTAATATGCACTTTTAAACCAAGAAAATGAATTTTATCTTTACTGTTATCTTTGATTAAACTAAACTATCTTCGACAATAATCAATTATACTTTTACAAGCAGGAGACGAGATCACCTCCGCCAACTTTTGGCGGTATAATGTGAAGTTGGCTGCAATTCGATATATCTAACTGATCATTTTCAAATTTAATTATTACCAACTGTATAAATTGTTAAAACAAAATAAAATAAAAATTTGAAAATTTAATACAATTCTTTTTGCCAATTAAAAACAAGAAACCAGTATGCTAATTATCTATCTTTTTCACGAAACTTTTATTTTTATTATAGAAAATGCTGAAGTCAATTTCTAAATTTACTTTTCCTAATTTACAAATTACAAGGAAATAAAACTCCATCCATCAAAATTATTTGCATTTTCATAAACAATACTATGCATTAGTCAATGAAAATAAAATCCTGAGAGGTTATTGACACCGGAACAATATTTCAATTCCAAAGTTTTTTCAAAGGTCTCAAAAGTAATCATTAAATAATAATATAAAAAGCTTACCTAAATTAAATTAACAGTTGTTATCATAAATTCTGCGACTGATCACACAAATATCACATTTGGATTCAATAAAATAATATTCCGAAAATTGGCGTCACACCTTTTCTTCCAATCTGAAAAAAAATTGATATTACTTATCGATTTTGGAATAATTAGTCATTTTTTCTAATTTGTAATAATAAATACAGAAAAATAGGAAATTTACTCAATATTATTTTTAATTTACATATTTTTGTAGTAAATATTATAGTAAATAATTATTTTGCATTTAGAAACTAAATTTGTATTATGCCATTTTGTTTTAAATTACAATAATATTATTACAGTATTAACAAATTATTATTATATCTAGTAGGTAATAATTTTTATTACATGTATAAATAATTATTATTATATCTATTGTTTACGCAATAAATATTAAATTTTTAACGTAATATTGATTGTAAAATTAAAAAATATATCAAATTATTAAATATTTTTATAAACATAAATACTTAAATGTCTTCAATTTCATTTTTAAAAAAAGTAATAAATTTTCTTTAAATTTAACAATTCTACAGTTTTTAATAAAAATTCAAAACAAATTAAAAGAAAATCTCTAGATTAAAATATTTTCTACACATATGTAATAAAGTAAAATTCAATATGTTAATGTATTATCGATCCTTTTTTTATCAAATAAGTTTCGAGTATAATAATGAAACTTTCATCTTTAATATATAAAAACAGAAACCAATTTCTAAATTTACTTTTCTGAATTTATAAATTACAAGGAAATAAACCCTAATCCATCAATTTTATTTGCATTTAAAGAAAGTAGATAGTCAATGAAATTAAGAACCCGAGAGGTTATTGACATCGATACCATATATTTCAATTCAAAAATTCTGAAAGGTTTTAAAAATAATCATTAATTAAATATATTAATCGCTCACCAAAATAAAATTGCCTTTTGCTGTTAGGAATTCTGCGACAATTAAAAAAAATCCCACATTTAGACGCTGAATATATTCGATCGTTTCTTTTTTCTGAAAGAGAAAAAAATTATTAATTATATTTTACGTTATTCGACTAATTTAAAAACTTTATTAAAATTTTTTAAAAGTTGATTTTTTCGAGAAAGTTATTAAAGTTATTAAAATTGTATTTGCAATTGATTTCCTGTGAAAAATTTTATTAGTTTTAAAAAGTTCTTGCAAAAGATTTTCAAAAATTTTTTGAAATTTTAAATTGTTTCAAAGAATTTTATTAGTAGCTAATCGTAAAAAAGGAGTAAATAGTAGGTTTTAGTAGATGAGTGCAAAGCCTTAAAATTACTAAATTATTTTTTTAAATTAAAATTACTAAATATAATTACCTTAATTTCCAGTGAGTACGTGGAAATATTGTAGTAAATCGTCTTTTGGATTTAAATTTCTCTTTCAAAAATGTATTAAATTCATCCTATTATGACAAAAAATGTGCCAAAGATCTTTCTTTATCAAGTAGTGTCCCCATGTCCTTTGGTAATTAACGTAATTAATTTTTATTATTTTGCCATCAAACTGCACTGTGCATTTTATGGTTATGTTAATATATGGAAAATTCGGAAAATACATTGCGGATGAGAATTTGATGAAAATCTTTTTAGTAATCCATAAAAAGCTAATATACCTGTTAAATCAATACTAGAATTAGCTGAAAATAATCATTCTCTACAAGAAAAAGGACAAAAATGAAAATTAGTCTAATAGAAAAGTAAACATAAAAAATGTTACCTATTTGCAACTTTTTGCATTTTTCCGCAACAATCCACATCATTATGTACATAAAATCCTTCTTTTAATGTATTCATTTCTCTAGAAAATTTATTATTATACTTATGCCATACACAAATTGCAATTATTTATAACTGACATTGTTATTGTTTACTTCGTCCATCTTTGTGGGAGAACATGGGGAAGAATTTGACAACAACGTAAATCAAACCCTCTACAGTTTTTTCATTAACATATTTTTTATATTCAAAATCTCAATTATTTAAACTGATTAATATATTTTGTGTCTCGTAATTCTTATTTATAGTGTACAAAAACTTTTCTATTATTAATAAACAACATTTTCTTAAAAGTTACAAGACGGCTTGTTAATATCTGAAGTTAGCTGCAAGTTGCAATTCGAGATACAAAATCGATTTTTTGAAAAAATTAAATTTCTAGAATATAACGTTTGAAAAATAAAAAAAAAGTAAAACTGCAAAATTGATGTAAAATGACACCAGAATAGAATAATCAATTATATCGAGTATATCCAATTCACTTTTGAATGAATAAGTAAATTTTTAAGAAAATTTCAGTTTATATTTAAACTTTTGAATCAATATAGTAGAGAATGGAATAGAAATCTTCTTTATCGTTAGTGGAATAACTCGAACTAAGTAATAACAAATTTCACCGCTAGATGTCTCATTGACTGTCCAGCATGGCTACAATTTAGACAAGTGTGTTTTTGTGTTGTTCTCATTCATTGACGTGACATTTTTTTTCAATGATAAAGTAAAATCCAATGATTCGCGCACGACAATATGCTTATCTTTAATACAAAGTTGTGACCTTCTCACGGTTCACACTGGCGTCAATCGTTAAAAGAGAGTGTACTTGTTGCAGGGAGGAGATTTGCCCTGTTGACAAAGTGCCACAAGTAATGAGTTACAGACCTCATGGGACACTTGCAAGAGCCCTTTATGAAAAAAGAAATGCTGATAATCGTTTGGAAGCATACGACAATACCAGGGTAAGAATTTTTTTTTTCCTTTTTCGAAAAATTATTTTCAATTTAACCTCAAAATGTACGAGTATGGGTTGCGCAGGATCATATGGTGTGAACCATCATCAATCATCATCTTGCCAACAGGATTATTTCTTTTAATGAAAATACCAAAAATACTGAGTAAATTGGATGGTTTTATTCTATTTCTTATATTTTAATCTAAATTTTTTTAGTATTATTAGCTTTTTTCAAGGTGCGTTTGGTTTGTTTACAAATTACCTTGCATGTTATTTTGGCGCCAATTTCTAAATGGTAGTTTGTTTATTTATTTTCTTTCTTTTATTGAATAATTAAGTATAATTTTTCTAAATAAACTAAATTTGTTCATATTTTGTATGTATTTTTTATATCGAATTTCGATATTTTTGTGCATTGTCAATTGAATTTTTTCTTAAAATCTAAGGAACGAAAAATTCAATTAATTTACAAACGAGGTTTGAAATAATTTACTTTATATTCTATTTTTAAAAATTTAGAAAATATGTAAAAATCGAGTGGTAATTATTTTCTATAAATTGCAGGTAAATTGAGAATCTTAAGTCAAGGAGAATTATGTTTTTTTTTGCAAAGGAGTATTTAGAGATTTTGAAAAATGAATGTTTAATTAAAATTATTGAAATTACGAAGATTTGGAATTTTATGTTTCTTGAGTGAGATTTTGTTTGCATTTTTTATTTTGGAATCGAGTATACATTCGTCAGAAAAGTAATTAGAGAGAGAGAGAGAGAGAGAGAGAAAGTTATAAATAAGGAGACAGACTTAAAAATTAAAGGAAGAGTTTAAAGAATTCTATATAACCATGCCCTCGACAGGGTGCAAGCGGTGTAACGAAGGGTGAAGAGAAGGAAAGAGTAGGCTGGTAATAATTAGTACAATTACCACACAAGGCCAACCACTGACTACCTTCCCTCCCTCCTCTCGCTTCTCAAGAGTCAAGTCTGTGCTCGGTAATTATGGATAATTACGTCCTCGATATTCCTGAAACATCTCTGAAGATGCTGCGGGCCTCTCGTTCCTTTCGATCTGCACGATCCATTTCACGGTTCATCCACTCTATTTGTAATTGCTGTGCGAGTGTGATATACATTACTTATTTGAATAGCCTTTTTATTATTCAAGGTAACTTTTACATTCGTATTTTTCATTATCAAGTTTATATCATTTAAAATGTGCCCGAGAATTAAAAATCTCGACATTTAATTTACTTTTACCATTTTTAAATTTATTCTTAATTTTTTTTTAGGAAAAGAAAAAAAGGATTTTAAAGAATATAGATTATCCTAAAGTTCTGAACGTTCAAATGAAGATAGAAAATAAATGACGTAGTATAAAAATAAAAGTAAAAATAAATATAAAAACAAAAAGTGACAAGAATATCTCACCAAATAAAATATTTAGCACGAAAAATCGAAAAAACAAAAAGTAACCATACCAATCGTTGAAAACGTGTAGAGTTTGGAGTTAGAAACTGAAATTACACGAAATATTATATTGATAAAAATAAAAATGTTGCCAAATAAAAATAAATACGATAAATGAAAATAGATAAAAATAATCGAATCAATAAAATTGGAAATTATCTTGAAGAGTAAATAAAAATAAATGAAAATAAATAAAAATATTTACTTCATTTAATTTTGATCAACAATTTTTAACATTAAATAGAAAGTAAAACAACATAAAAAGAATAAATAAAATTATGAAAAATATACCAAGAGAAAGGAAATAATCCATTATTAACAAAAATTAATAAATTAAAGAAGAACAAGGCAAAATAAATTAAAACTTAAATATTTTCAATATAAGAAATATTTCTTTCATTCGAACGTTCAAAGCTTGTGGATACACCCAGAGAAAAATATTATTTAAACCAAATATATTTTATTTGAGTTAAATAAACGTATATTTGTCTCAGAACCAACTAGACTTTTTATTTCTTTTAAATAAAAATTTTATTCGACACAAATAAAACATATATTTGAGATAAATAAAATTTTATTTAAACCAAATAAAATTTATTTCAAACAAATAAAAAGTCTAGTTGGTTCTGAGACAAATATACCATTTCTCTGGGTGTAGAATAGTATTTAACTTTAAACTTACAAATTTATTTATTAATTTATATTTTACTGAAAACTATTAATAACATTTATTATGAAATTAATAATTTAATTGTCATTCGAAGCAAATAGAATTTCTATAGAGAAAGAATGGAGGAAAAAAAGAATTCAAATCCCAAACAGGATTCTAAATTTCCGATAAGGTTCGCGATTCAAAGCGCCTTTCGACACCCTCCTAATATCCCTAAGCAACGCCTGAGAACTTTGCGCTCTGAACACGGTGAGTGTCACCGTGCGCACACGATGTTTTAAGGTTTTAAAAAGGGCGACTTTAGTATATACTTGGTCTGATAAAAGAGCGAGAGAAGACGAGTGCTTTGAAATATTAAGTGACTGATGGATGAGGCTCCGATGGGAAAAGGAGAGAAAAATTTGTGAGACAGTGAGAGTGAGGGAGAGAAAATAGTAAAAGAAAAAAGAAGGGAGTAAGAAAATTCGAGCCTCTCTTTTTTATTCAGGCTTTCCCGCCTTCTGATGTCCCTCCATTTCTTTGAAATCGCAATCCCCATGCATGAATATCTTCCAAGGACTTTCGAAACTTCCTAATTAGAATCTTATCGTATGTCAGAAAATCTCTCTTTCTCTTTCTCTCAGGGTTTCAATTTCTTTGACGACTTGCTATATATATATACACTTCCTAAAAATGCAAATAAAATTGATGGATTGGGGTTTGTCCTCTCGTAGTTTTTAAATTAAGAAAAGTAAATTTAGAAAATGATTTCAATTTTTAGATTAAAAATGGGAATTTTATTACTTGAAATTTATTTGATAAAGAATGATCAATAGTACATTAGGGAATTGGTTTTTTTTTCTAATTATAAAGTAGTTAAAATATTAAATTATATTTTAAATTTTAATTCGATTATTATTAGTTTTATTTTTTGGAATTTTTGTACACTTTCGAGTGTTTTGTACTTTCACATGGTACATATTTTTACAGGGTTCCTACAGAATCTGGAAATCATGGAAGTGGTATGGAATTTTGAAAAGGGTTCTGGAAATCAGGAAAATCCAGAAAAAGGCCTGGAATTTTTAAAAGTTTCTAAATTTTTCCTGTTTTCTATTTTTTCTCTTGAATAGAAATTCAAATAATAATAAAGCTAAATTCGGATTTTTGAATTTTTGGTAATTTTCGATAATTTTAGATTTTTTGCCAAAGAGTCGAGACTATTAAATAAGTAAAGTATTTTCCAAGAGCACAAAAATAATGATGCTAAATCCTATAAAAGAGAGAAAAAAATGTTCAATTTTAAGAAATTCGGATTTTTGAATTTTTGATAATTTTCGATAATTTTAGTTTTTTTACCAAAGGGTCGAGACTATAAAATAAGTAAAGTATTTTCCAAGAGCACAAAAATAATGAAGCTAAATCCCATAAAAGAGAGGAAAAAATGTTGAATTTTAAGAAATTCGGTTTTTTGAATTTTTGATAATTTTCGATAATTTTAAATTTTTTACCAAAGAGTCGAGACAATTAAATAAGTAAAGTATTTTCCAAGAGCACAAAAATAATGAAGCTAAATCCCATAAAAGAGAGGAAAAAAAGTTGAATTTTAAGAAATTCGGTTTTTTGAATTTTTGATAATTTTCGATAATTTTAAATTTTTTACCAAAGAGTCGAGACAATTAAATAAGTAAAGTATTTTCCAGGAGCACAAACATAATGAAGCTAAATCCCATAAAAGAGAGGAAAAATGTTCAATTTTAAGAAATTCGGTTTTTTGAATTTTTGATAATTTTCGATAATTTTAAATTTTTTACCAAAGGGTCGAGACAATTAAATAAGTAAAGTATTTTCCAATAGCACAAAAATAATGAAGCTAAATCCCATAAAATAGAGGAAAAAATGGTCAATTTTAAGAAATTCGGATTTTTGATAATTTTCGATAATTTTAGATTTTTTACCAAAGAGTCGAGACTATTAAATAAGTAAAGTATTTTCCAAGAGCACAAAAATAATGAAGCTAAATCCCATAAAAGAGAGGAAAAAATGTTGAATTTTAAGAAATTCGGTTTTTTGAATTTTTGATAATTTTCGATAATTTTAAATTTTTTCCAAAGAGTCGAGACAATTAAATAAGTAAAGTATTTTCTAAGAGCACAAAAATAATGAAGCTAAATCCCATAAAAGAGAGGAAAAAAAGTTGAATTTTAAGAAATTCGGTTTTTTGAATTTTTGATAATTTTCGATAATTTTAAATTTTTTCCAAAGAGTCGAGACAATTAAATAAGTAAAGTATTTTCCAATAGCACAAAAATAATGAAGCTAAATCCCATAAAAGAGAGGAAAAAATGTTGAATTTTAAGAAATTCGGTTTTTCAAATTTTTGATAATTTTAGATTTTTTACCAAAGGGTGGTAACTATTAATTAAGTTAAGTGTTTTTGAAGAGCCCAAAAATAATGAAGGTAAATACTATCATAGAGAAGAAAAACTGTTGAATTTTTGATAAATTTTGATAATTTTAGAATTTTTACCAATGGGTGGAGACTATTAAATAAGTAAAGTGTTTTTAAAGAGCCCAAAATTAATGAAATTAGATTTAAAATTCCACTGGAATTTCGTAAAAATTTGACCTGGAAATCATGGAAAAGGTATGGAATTTTAAATGCGGATTTCTGTAGGATTTTAGAATTACAATTTTACAATCTTCAATTGAATTTATTAATTTTCTAATTGAAAGTATAACAATTTTTTACCTGATAATTAAAAAAATTGTTACATAATTTATTTTAATAGTCTTTTTTATGTTAGTTGTTTAAATTAAGTTTTTAAATTAATTTTTTACATTATTTGTTTAAATTAATTATTTAAATTATTTGTTTAAATTAATTTTTAAAATTACTTGTTTAAATTAATTTTTTAAATTACTTGTTTAAATTAATTTTTTAAATTAGTTTTTAAAATTAATTTTTTAAATTAGTTTTTTAAACTGTTATTTTGAATTAATTTTTTAAATAGTTTTGTATTTAGTTTCTAAATTAATCTTTTAGTTAATTTTTTAAATTTCTGATTGGATTTTTTTAAATAATTTTTTTCATTTAATTTTTTAAATAATTTTTGAATTAGTTTATAAATTAATTTTTCTAGTTAATTTTTTAAAATTTCTTATAAGATTTTTTAAATTAATTTAATTAATTTTAATTGTTGTTTTAAAAAAAAATTAATTCAATTTATAATTAATTAATACTATTAATACTACTATTATTATCATTATTATTATTACTATTATTATTATTATTATTATTATTATTATTATTATTATTATTATTATTAAAATTATTTTTATTATTATAATAATTATTAATATTATTAACTTGAATTTAAATTGAAAATATCTCGTTTTCAAAAATTTTCGATTCGATATATCGAACTTGCGACTGGCGGCCAACTTCACTGCACTGCAGTATACCGCCAAAAGTTGGCCAAAGTGACCGCGTTTTTTTACTTTTTAAGGAAAAAAATATCAGTAATTATGGTAATTATTGTCGTAAATAGTATAAATATACCAGAAATAACTATTCATGGAGGCTAAATGTATCTTCTGTTGTTTAAAAGTGAATATTTTGAGTACGTAGTGTGAATTATTGGTTTAAAACCTGACGTCCAATGTTTGTAAACAGGTAACATTGTTTTCTATACTTTTTTCCATTGTTATTCTTTTATTAGACAAATTTCATTGTTTTTCATTCAAAGATAGCTTACATTTAGTTATTTCGGTTATTTCTATTAAGAATATGACATTATTAAGAAGTTACGCGCAACAAAAGACTTGAATTTTTCGAAATTAATTTTGCGTGTATAAACATAACCTAAAAATACACTATTTTTGTAAATTAACAAGAATATGGATTTAAAATTTGTTTTAAATCAACTAAATATTGAAAATTGTTATTGAAATAGCATTATTTAAAATTTTTGCATTTACTATTTAGTGAAAGTTTAAAAGTGAGGTTAGTTTTTTAATAATTGCGGTAATGTTAGTATAAAAATAATAGTTTAATGCCTTTTGAAGTCTGGAAAAACTCTGAAAATTGTACTTTTCCATTGTGTTGTACAAAGAAAGGTATAAATAATTAATTTAATTTACAATTAATTCAAAATAATTCTTCAGAATTTTTGGAAAAAGTATATAAATCATCAGTGAAAAATAAAAAGAAAAAAATTTTGTTTTGAAAGACATTTCTTCGGTTTCGAAATATTTCTTTATATTTAAAAATAAAAAAAAACATTTTTCTAATTTTACTTATTTAAATGAAAAAGGTTTTTTTTAATTTAAATTTGAAATTTAATCAAATTTTAGAGTCGCAGATGCATAATTTATTTCGTTGAGACGCATTGACTCGAAATTGAAATTTAAACAAATGTTTTGTTTTGAAGGAAATTTTTTTTCTCTTATCGTAGGAGATAAAAAAATTTCAAATGTATGTGTGTATAAATGTATATAAAATTCAAGTGTGTTATAATTCTCGCAGGTAACTTTTTGAACGGTTTATTGGACATAACGAAGGTGCACGACAGATAGATCGTTATCAGACGTGTTATCTGAAAATATTCCTCATTGCTAGTCCAAGTCTGTAACGAGTGCCGTTTCACGCACGATCGCTCATTTTTATACAACACATATATACATATATATAACATAAAGTCGATAACGATCACAAGTTTCAAATCGAAATATTCAGTTTTGGATCGTCTTGTGCAGAAAGAAGAATATTACATCTTTATAGCTCGAGGGTGCAAGTTCAATTCCATTTTTCGTCAATATATAGATATATATTTTTCAAGAGAGGTGCGCGCGTGTAAACGAAGTGATATTCTAGGCGCGAGCACGTTCGTTAGTCGATCGTTGTGGATAAAAACTATCCACGGTTAGTTACACCGTTCCGCGTTTCCAATCAGGAGAAACCCTGGAAAGAATGAGGATCTCGAATCTGGAGACGGAAGCAAGGATAACCAAGGTCCTGAACCTGCATCTACGTTTTATTCATTCTTTTTTTTTTTTTTTTTTTGAAAAAAATACATGAAAAATAAAACATCATCGCGGATTATATACGTAGGAGTGAAATTGAAGATGAAAGATTGATCAAGATTACGGCAAATGCTCTACAATTTTCAATTTCTAGATATCTTGAAATTCTGCATATTATTCCATGAGTATTTGAATCGAAATCGATGATGATATATTACATGTGATTCCAATTTGAGAGAATTTATTTTTTTGCAAATTAATTCAGGCGTTTTAAAGTGTTAATGTGTACAGGCCTCGGGTTAAAAAGACTTTTTCGACTTTTTCCAATATAATTTCAAAATATGCGATAATTTCGATTTTTCTTCCACATATTGCATCAAAACATCAGTTTTTGGTATAAAATGCTATACTTTTTGTTAAACTTTGAAAATATTGAAAAATTTAAACTGTTCATGAATTTTCTTTTTCACGTTATAAACCTAAAAAAAATCATAAAGAGCTACAGATGCAATTTTTTCAAATTTACAATTGAATTTTTATATTCAAGTAATTCAATTCTCGAAGAACTTTCGGAAAATTATAAGAAATATGTAATAAATTTAGAGAAGAAACTGTTAGATTCAAATTTATGAAAAATAATATGAATTTTGAAAGAGTTCTGATTAAAATTTTTAGAAACAAATGAATTTCAAGATTCTGAACAATTCAGTTTTCAAATACCTGATTCCAATTAAAATTTCTTTAAAATGAGATAAATCTTTGAATATATGTGGAAAATTAACGAATCAAAATTTTGTTAAATTAAATTGAGAAAATTTGATTCTTAAAGAACTTTTACAAAAATTTCAAAAATATTTGAGTTGGAGAAGAATTTTAATTAAAAGTAATTTTTATCTAAAATTCTTTTGTAAATCAATTATTTAATCCAGAAAAGAGTTGATTTTTTAAGAAGTTACAGGAGAAATTTTTAGAAATAATTAAATTATACAAAAGGCTTTAACTGTAAATTTTTGAAAATTTCAATTAATAAAGAAATTTAATTATATTTAACAGTAATTGAATAGAAAAAAATTATTAAACTTTTGCATAATTTTAGTTGAAAATTCTAGAAAATTATGAATTTTGAAAGAATTACAGTTGAATTTTTTAGAAGTAGTGAAATTAAAATTTTTTAAATTTTATAACGGGAAAAAGGAAATTCAACAGCAGTTTAATAATTTAATTTAGTAATTTGTTTAATAATTTCAAAAAGAATATATTTCTATAGTATTTAAATATTCACTTAACAAAATTTTGGAAGTTTTGAATAATTGAATTCAGAAAACTTACAAAAATTACGTTTTTGGAAAATTTTAATTAAAATTTTTTGAAGTAATTAAATTAATTAAACTCCCGAAAGTAATTAATTGAAAAATTGTTTTAAAAAAATTGTAAATTTCGTTAAATTTTATTAATATTGAAACGAATTTTATATTTTGGAGAATTTTATTACAATTTTTGTTAAATAATCTTGTTTCTAAAGAGAAATGTGAAAAAGTTTGAAAAAATATTTTGAAATAATTGTATTTTAAAAAAAACTTAGATTTGAAGTTATCGGAATAAGGAAAAATGTTCAAAGCTATTCTGGAAATCAGAAAAAAGTCAGGGAAATACAGAATAACATTTTTGTGACAATACCGAATAAGAGAAACGACTTTTTCGACATTTTTCCTATTTTGAATAAAATGACTTTTTTTTCATTCTTAAAGTTGATCCGAGGCCTGTGTATTATTTAAAGAAATTTCTAGACTTGTCTGCCGATAATAACTAAATATCATCGCCTTGGCATTAGAATTTAAAATTAGAAATAATCTTATTTTTTCAAGTGATTGTGAATGAGTTGTGGATAAGATTATAGATACAGAGCTTATCAGTCAAAGATAGCAATTGATTAAAAACGCAGGAATTGATATAGATTGTCTCTGAATGTTTATGTGTTTAAGGTAAAATTTCTCTCTGAAATTAGAATTTCACTTTCTTGTGTTCACTTATTTTCATTAAAGAGCAGTGAATGATTTTCTCGTATGAATTGAAAATTTTTGCTTTCCTCTTTTTTTCTGGCTTGGAATTGGTGAAGGAAGTCAAATTCTGAAACTTAAAGTCGACTGCAGCAATAAACATAAAGAGAATGCGTTTGACTCGCGATCCAACATGCCTTAGGAATTCGAAGTGCTCCACGTATAGTGGCCCAAACATCCTCAGTATTTCCTTTATACAGAAAGCATAAACTCTCTGTTTACAAACAGCAATATCCGTTAGATTAAATAAAAAAATGTCCAGTGGAAGGTATTCTATTTTCTATTTGTATAAACATCATTTTCTGTAGAAGTGTATTTGAGAAAAAAAATATCCTTCATTTTATTCAATTTATTGGGACAAAATTGATTTTAAATCCCGTTGGTTAACAAAAATATTGTCCTCGTTTTTTTGTTGTATACCGTTAATTTGTTTTTGTCATATTATAATTTATGTAACGGAATTATTTAGCTGTATACACACAGTTTTCAACTTATTTGGTTATTGGTACTCAAGGTTAATCTGGAAAAAAATTACCTTTTGTTCTTTTTGTTTGATATCGAATATTTCGAAGTTCTTTTGTCTTTGATAAAAAGAGTTATATAAAACTCAAGGAAACGACAATTTAATTTTGTTTATTCCTCTTACTGGGTATTAGTATTCACGTGGAAATATTTTTGGTTATCGTTTTAGACAAATTCGCACTGAACTTTATTAAATATGCAAAATGGAAAATTCTGTAAATTTAAATCTGTAATTTATTTTTATTTTTGAAAATTAATTGAAATTTGTTCGATTTTCGAAATTCATTGTTTGTTAATTGTTCTTGTTTTTGTTTTAGTGATCTAAAGTGTTTATATCCTGTAAAAGAGAGGAAAGTAAAAGAGCAAACTACGTAAAGCACGAGCACGTCACAGAAGTCGCCACTAATGACGCAAAGAGGAATGCTGTCTTTCACGTCGGTAGCCATTTGTAATTCCCAAAGAAAAAGTAGAGAAAAAGCGGAATCAAAGTGTGATGATGGGGCCTGGCCATCCACAATTAGTGACACACGCTGGCAGCCATAATTAAAATCCTTGACTCAGGCTTATATTCTCCCCCCTCTCTCTCTTTCTATATATATACCGTCACATTTCAAGCCTTTTCCTCTCCTTCGTTCCGCTTTTATAAATTCTCTTTCTCGCACTTGGAGAAACTAATCGAGCCAACTGCCACTTGGATTTTTTTGCACCTTTGCGATCTCCGCAAATACTCCCCGTGGACTTTAGGTCGATTTACGGACATCGGCATGTCTAACCCTTGTCGAAAGGTTCTTACCAAACGTAATTGCAGTATATCGCAAAAGTGATAGATGCCCATTGAAATTCTTTAGATCGGACGCACGAGGCTTGAATTAATGTCGAGAATCAACAACGAGAAGGAAAGAGAGTGAGAAAGAGAAGGGGTCTCTTTAACACGTTCCAAACAACATTGTCTCATACCGCATTGGAGAAAGAGAGAGAGAGAGAGACTCTCTTATTTCTCACTGTTCTCTTATCCAGGTGTGGATTTCAGTGTCAACACCTATTCCTCTAATAGGGAACTTGTCTGATGACTTTTTACACTCAAACCACGTCTTCGAATTAAACTGCCAAGCTGATTGCTTATCTGATGATTTATCTCTTTGACTCACAATGCGAAAAAAAACATCCCTTCGCTCTTGATAAAAAAAAGAAAATTTCAAAATTTCCCATTGTTTCGATTTTTAATTCCTATTTAAATAATTCAGTTTTGTTAATACAAAACTGAATTATTTAAATAGTAATTAAAAATCGAAATGATTCTTAATTCCTTGAGAATGAATGAAATTGGATCGAAACTTAATTAATATCACGCGGTAGCCCTGGAGGCTTCTGCACCCGAGACTAAATGACTTTTCAAGTTCCTCGATGCACCTGGACCAACTGTGTTAATTGTTCACCGACTCTCATTTCTCTTGTTCATCATTTGCTCTCTCTCTCTCTCTCTTTTTTCTCTCTTGCTTTTTTCAAATAGTAATCACGAGAAAAGGAGAATCTGAATTGAAAATCGGGGAAGAGAGAGAGAGAGCAACAAGTGTCCTCGTTACGAGCGCAAAAGCATTCCTAATTATCCTTTTGCCCCTTATAGAGATGACGAAGAATCAGACAAAAACCACCTTGATTACATTTTCGTGTAATGTCATCGTTAACCATTAGGCCACCCACAAATTGGATCGATGCTTTATTACGTTCTAATTGCTCTTCATTATCCGCTCTGAAACCAAAGGTCTCCCAAATGACGCTTTGCGTAATTTAGCAGATGTTTACTATGTACTTCCAAACGAAAAAATCAAACTTCCGGAAATAATTACATTTAATTGAGATTTATTTCATTTATTTCTTTTCATTTACAGAATAAATTAATTAATTAAATGTAATGTATTTAATATATCGATTAATTAATAATAATTATAATATAATAACAATAATATTATTTATTCAATAATTATTATTTAATAGTAATAATTGAAATAAGCATTCAGTAAATTTTAATAGTAAAGTTGATAATATTGATCGCCTCGAGTCAAAAACCTGACTCGGGGAGAAACGAGTAATATTATTTAATTTAAGAAATTAACAAAATTTTGATTATGGAAATTGATTTAATTTGTTGTTAATTTCCCTCAGGGAAAAAATGAACTGAAGACTAATTTTTTTTCGCTTTTATTTTTCAGTGGTACACAATCGATAGCAGTAAATTTCGAGAGGATATATTGAAATTATGGATTCCTTTAGGATCGGGACAGGAGAAAAATCAACCAGACCAAGCTGCCCAAGAATTTCTTTCGAGGTCCATTGAAAGATCTAATTCTCTCCTTCTACAAGCATGGCACTATCTGGCCCGTTCCATCTTGTCTTCTTTCATCAGTCGAACTTCTATCAATGGGTGAGTTTTTTCCCCTTTTTTTGTTTTCGAATTCTGACAAACGCAAATTTTTTCGCAAGTCTAAATTTATATATTCTTCAGCATTTAATTTGGACAAATTTATTATCTTAACTTATCTATTCAGTTTATTATAAATGAAATTAAATGAAATTAATTATGAAACAGTTTGAAATGTGCAGGCCTCGGATTGTGTGAATTTTGGGACTTTTTGCGATAATTGCAAAAAAGGCGAATTTTTTCGACTTATTTAGAAAAAATGCGAATTTTTCTACTTTCCTGTTTCTTAGAAATTGCAACAAATTACATAAAATACCACTTTTTTGGTATATAATACTTGTTTCAATTTTTTTCAAAATAATTAAATTATTGAAATATATAATTAAAAATTTATCAAATAATTGAAAATTGTAAAACTTTATTGAAGCATTGTTTTCTTTTCAAGTATTTCATTGCAATTTTGTTTAAATCAATTTTCAAAATCAATTTTTGAAGAATTTTAATTGCAAATTTTGAAAATAATTCAATTTTTTATAAATTTTAATGAACAATCTTGCAATGAAAATTTAAAAATAAAAATGAATGGAAATTAGCTTCAAAAAATTTTTTTTTAACATTTTTTTTTAAGAAATTCAATTATTTTGAATACTTTCAATTGCATGAAGAAAATTGTGTATTTTACAAAATTCAAATATTTAGAAAAAAAATAATTCAATTAAAAAGTTTTAAAAAATCTAACTTTATAAAATTATTTGTTACAATTTTTTAATTTAAAATTCTTGAAAAAATTGATTAGTTTTTGAAGTTTTCAAAAATTCTTTTAAAGAAATTCAATTATTTTCGAAAAATTACATTACAGTATTTTTAAAAAACTAATTCTTAGAATTATTTTATTATAATTTTTTAAAAATTTAAAAAAAAATAAACTAAAATTTTTAAAAACCTTTTTTTTAGACTTATTATTAAAATTTTTGAGAATTTATATATTTTCAAATTTATAATTAAAATGTTTTAAAAACTTAATAATTTTGGTATATTTTTCAAAAATTCCTTTAAAAAATTTAATTATTTTTAAACAAAGTAGAATAAAATTTCTTTAAAATCTATTTTTGTAGACTTATCATTAACATTTTTTGAATAATCTAGTATTTTGTAATTTATTTGTAACCAAAATTTTTCAAAAACTTAATAATTTTGTAAAATATTTTCTAAAAATTCTTCTGGAAAATTCAATTATTTTCAAAAAATCTTATTAAAAAATAAATTTCAATTATTTTTAAAGAAATTTACTAACTATATATAAATTATTTGAAAATATTTCAGTTTTACATGGAGAGGAAATAAATAATATAAATTTTGTAAAAATATTTTACAATTTAGGGAGAAAATACGACAAAGTGAAATTTTGATACAAAAAATACTAAACTTAGAAATTATGAGAAATTTATTAAAGTTAAAAATTAATTAATTTAATTAATATTCTTAATATTTGATATTTAATTATACTAAAGTTATCATAATTTTTTTTTTAATTTAGTATTTTTTTATATCAAAATTTCACTTTGTCGTATTTTCTCCCTAATTTGTAAAATATCTTTAGAACATTTAATAATTATTTTCTCTTTGTGTATATAAATTTAAAAATCTATTAACTTTAAAAAATTATTTTAACATTTATTTTCTCTCCGTGTTTACAATTTAAAAATTTATTAACTTTTAAAAATTATTTTAAAGTATTTAAAAAAAATTGTTTTCAAAATATTTTTGGTTATAATTTTTAGAAATAATTAAATTTCAGAAGGTTTAAAATTTTTAAAATTCAAATTCCTGTGCAAAAATAAATAACTATTTATTTAACAAAATTATTGGAGTTTTAAATAATTGAATTTCTAAATCAGTAAAGAGTCAGAGAAATAAAAAATTAAATTTTCGTGACAACACTGAATGAAAAAAGATTTCTTTCTATCTTTTTTTTTTTTTGTCTTTTATCGACTAAAGCGACTTTTTTTGCACCTCAAAGTCGATTCGAGGCCTGAATGTGAAAATATGTTGCACTTCAGGGAATAAAATCGGTTTCAGGAGGAACTTTTAAATCAGTTTAAGTTTAAGACTAATTACCATTGTACGCTATTGAAAATGATTTAAATTATGCGAAATATTCTAGGATCATGAAAAAGAGAGGGAGAGAGAAAGAGAGAGAGAGATAAAGACAACTCGCAACAAAGTTTAAGTTTTAGAAGGTAAATCGAGTTAAGAGAAAAAAGGGGTGCGAGGTCCCAGGAAGCCGAGATCGTTTGTGAGGTGATGAAAGAGGGCCTTCCCTTCTCGGCGGTTAATTAATAACCACGGAGATAGGATCTCCGCCTATCTCTCTGTCCGAGGCTCGACAAGCTGCGATGGTAAAGGGGCCCCATAGGACTTACATGCTTGCAAGGTGGGCTGCAGCCATGGTTATTGATGGCTAGCTTTGTTTGCCCCCCGAACCGTTTATTAAAATCCAACGCAGGTGATTAACCTCTTCCTGACTTGAGTCTCACCCTGATCCCCCTCTTCTCTCATATATAGCAGCTACTAGGCGCGATCAAAAAGGACCACGTTGCAACCTCTCTTTCATCCTGCACGATCAACCAACTAACGTCTCATTCGTGAAGAAGGAGACTGTAATTTACATGTATTCCGTTTTCAACCTCTCTCGCGGTAGTAACTTACATATCCCGCCTTCTCACACTTGACTCAATCATATATCCCTTTTCAAATCTGTCAAGAATTCTATTTGACTTCTTTATGCTCACCCCGTGCCCTTATTAATCCATTTTCTAACACTTGAGTTTCTTTAGAACACCTGATAAAACTTTTGGAATGTATGGAATCTCTGGAGAGAAATCTTAAGGAATTTTTATTTAAATCGTGAAAATTTATATATTATTTAATTTCACATCTTTGTGGAGCTTTTAATTTGAATCAAATTTTTGATCGAATGCGGATATTTCTCAAAAGAAAATTCTGTTGATTAAAAATTCTGTCAATTTAAAATATCGAAAAAAATAAATATTTTTTTCCATTTATTAAATTGACAGAATTTTTATTCAATAGAATTTTCGTTCAATTTTCATAGAATTTTTGTTTATTTAATGTACGTTAAATATTAAATACGTATTTTAAATTTTTCATGTTAATAATGTGAAAATTAAAACGAATTTTGAATTAATTTCACGTATAATCAAATTTTAATCAAATAAAATACAAAAAAATATTTCCAAAATAAAAATGTCCAAAGACAAAAAAATTCAAAATAAATAAATAATGAAACATGTGAAAAAGCAAAGTTTTTAGTTTTTACACTATAAAATCGAAATTTAAAATATATTAATGTTAAAATCGCAGAATTTTCATTATTTACATAGATGAATAAAAAAAATTCTTCACAAAAATTCAATTATTTTCATATGTAATTAAAAAAATTTTTAATTATTCTATAAAATTTTTAAAACAATTATTCCAAGAAATACAATTATTTTCAAAAATTTTGATAAAATTCTTTACCAAAATTCAATTATTTTCATAATTAAAAAATTTTCAATTATTCTATAAAATGTTTAAAACAATTATTTCAAGAAATACAGGACAAAAAATCTAAAAAATAAATCCAAAATGAAACTATTTTTTTTTTTACTTTTTTGGATTTCATTTGCTTTGGATTTTTAAGTTTGGACTTTTTGTTTTGGACTTTTTAAGAAATACTAAGTAAAAAATAGGAAATATTTACTAGTAAGAAACTAATAACAAAAATATTTAAAAACTATTAAAATTAGCAAAGAATAATATTTTACTTATCAGTAAAAAAGTAACAATTCAAAAAAAAATTTGTATTAGTAAAACAAAAAGCGATTAATTAAAAATATTTATTAGTCAAATTTATTAGAAAAAGTATAACAAAAAAAATATTTGTTAGTAAAAAATAACTATTATTGAAATATATTTATGAGTAAATAATAATTTATAAAAAAATAATCATTAGCAAAGAATATTTATTAGTAAATAAATAACATTTGGAAAAAATATTTATTAGCGAAACAAGCTAATAGTAAGAAATTTTTATTAGTTAATTAATAATTATTAGTAAAAGAAAAACTATTAGGAAAATATTTATCATTAATTTGAACAAAATAATTATTGCAAATATTATATTTTTTTGTAGAAACCCTGAGATTTCTTTTCGGATCTTAGTAGAGATATTTTTTAGACAACTTCATCAGTTTCTGATTTTGAAAGCTGTTGCTGAAAATTATTTGCTATTTATACTAATTTTTTGAAAACTTTTAAATTTCGTCGATTTTAATAATTGAAAATTTATTTCCTATCAAAATTCCAAGAGTTAAAGGTGATAATTTGTTTGAGTTTGTATAGGGGACTCTAAATCTGAAGAAGAGAAAATTTATTTCACTTTTTCACATTTAGAAAATAGCTTTTCCTCGTTTTCGAATTGTACTAATAATTTTAAATATTTCATAGAAAATGTTTAGTTTTTCTTCGTTAAAGTACAAATTGAACTGCTTAAATGCATTTTTCATTCCTGATAGAAAATTGCTTTTGTTAATCCTATTGTTTTTGTGAATTGAATATTGATTCACTTTTAAAACACTTTTTTTGAATTTTGTGAATTTCCTAAAATTTCTGAAATTAATATTTACGTTTTTCGTCCAGTATTAATTGTAGTTTCTTTGTATATTTTCAAAGTTAAACGAAATATGCCTTCATTGAAATATTTTCCTTGACAATTTTTGACAACAATCAGTAATGTGAATTAAAAATAAAATAAATATTTAAAACAATAATTTAAAAATATTCCTCCTTAATTATTAAGAAGGAATAGCACTAAATTAATAAATATAAAACTAAATTAAATTTTCATATTCAAGCGTAAAAATATTTTTAAATTAAAATTATTTCTCCGATGGAAAAATATGAGGCCATTACGAATTTTCTGTTTTATTTTTCTACTT